GTCAAGTGTGGCAGTGGTAGTGAGGTTGGCCCAGGATCGGACATTGTTTCGTTCTGCTGTGCATGGGGTCACTATGAGTCAGTTCTGACTCGATGGCACCTGACAACAACAAAGATACCACATGCAAATAGATTTCTGGGGGGCTCTAAAATCATTTCGTGTAATTGTAACTCAGTATGGAAAACATAGATGTTCTTACCTGATGTTAATGTTAATGCTTTCAGGAGAAGGAACATCACACAGTATCCTAAACAAGCAGAGGATTCAGGTATCATCATGTCTGTAAAAGGAGACAAGAGGAAGGTCATAGATTATGAAATATGGGAAGATATTGTAAAAATGCAAAAATAAAAATCAAGGTTAGAAGCAAAGTGTTAACAATATAATCACGAATTAGTTAAAATTAATAATGCAATATATGATTGCTATGATCTAATAAACTATTTGGAAATTAGGGAAACATTTCCTCATGCTAGAGGTAATAGCTTCCAGAGAATGGAGACTTCACAGAGACTTAAGTAACTTTTGCTTATAGATTACAGATTTCCATGGTAATGAAGTAAAAAGACAAATGACTTAAAAAATAAAGATGATCTGAGTATTTATTTGCTAAATTCTTATAGATATCTAATGATACTTTACAAGACTGCAAGAAGATTCACCTAGATTTTTAAAACACATTGCTACAAAGTATATGTATGCTAAATTGTGGCCATAAATACCTTGAAGGCAAAGCATATAGAGAGCACATATTTTCTAACTAGCATTTCCTTCAGGAATTCTACCAATGCTGATAGAAATGATCAGGAAGAATCTTGAGAAAGCTTTTCTCCTGATATTCATTGGAGGAGACAAACAGAGGTACTGTTGAAAATTCCATCCAGACCCTTCTCCTCCATTTTCCATATGAAAATTAAGTATTTGAAAGCAGAGGAAGAGCAATAAAAATTGTATCTTAGGTCACTTCTGGAGACTCAGTGCACCTGGGGAGAGGAACAGAATCAAAACTGTACTTATGAGGGGGTTTCAGGAATACATGCCAAGGCCAGGACTACAAATGAAGAAGGTGGTAGACACCACACTACTGGAATTCCAAGTATGAATAAGGATGAGACTTCATCAAGTAATCAGGGAATATCTGATAATTTTCTGCAAGAAACAAATACTCCCTGAAATTCAGAATGTCAGGAAGACCTAAAATAAAATAGGGATACCTGTTGTCAAGCAAGGAAAAAAAATATTGAGACAATGCTCTAGCAAATTAACCCACACTCTAACTAAGGTGCCTGTGGAAGAATTTGAAGTCTGTGATACACTGAGGATTACTAGAGACACAGCCAACCTAAAATTGAGCTTAACTTCTAATAAATTATCAAATCTCCACAGTGAAGACCTAGCTGAAAAATTAAAAACAAAAACAAAACTTACTTCAGTATTTACTTCCTATAGAGTAACTATGATTATCAAAATAATTAAAGGTATTCAAATTGTCTAGATAAAACAGTAATAAGTATCAAAACATCCATTACAGCCAGTCTTAGATATTTCACAATTGCAATGTCAGAGCCAATTTAGTCTAAGAAATGGTAAACAGTAATATAGAAATGGTGGAAATAAAACACGCAAACAAATATGGAGTAGAAAATGATATCAACAGGTTCATTAATCGACTCTAAAAATTTTAGAGAAAAAGACAATGACCTTAAAGACAGTTGAAGAGAAAGTAGGCAAGCTAAATCACAAAGAGAAAAAAAGGAGGTGTGTATGGGGGGGGGGGGGGGATCAAGACATCCAGAAATTGTGGGATAATATCAATGATCTAGTATAGTATAATTGGATTCCTAGAAGAAGGAAAAAAAGACAGTAAGACCAAAGTGATATTTTTAGATCTAAGATTCAAGAATTTTCCAAAATTATTGATAGACAACCAATGACAGAAATCAGGAACAAAGCAAGGATGTTCATTCTTGCCATGATACTTTTACATTGTATAAGAGATTTTGTCCAGAACAATTAAACCAGAAAAAGAAATCAAACACATCCAGATTGGAAAGGAAGGAGAAGTAAAATAATTTTTATTTGTAGATTACATATATTGTATTTAGGAAATCGTAAGGAATCCAGTAAATAGCTGTTAAAACTAATAAACAAGTTCATAAAGATTACTAGAAACAAGATCAGTATACAAAAATCAATTAAATATCTATACAGTAGCAATGAGAAAACTAAAAAGGATATTAAGAAAACAATTCCATTTGAAAAAGTGTAAAAAATTCATAGAAATAAATTTAACAAAAGGCATTTAAAACTTAAACTCTGAACATTACAAAATATTGTTGAACAAAATGAAAGAAGACTGAAATAGATGCAAGACATCCCATGCTCATGAATTGAAGGACTTAACCTTGTGACTATGGTAATACACACTATAGTGAGTCAGAGATTCGATATAGTTAGTAACAAAAACCTAAGGGATAATGTTTTAGAAATTGACAAGGCAATCCTAAAATTCATTTAAAAACACTAGAGACAGAATAGAAAAAAATTATTGAAAGAGAAGAAAGTTGGGGGACTTGCATGTTCCAATATCAGTAGTTATTACAAATCTACCACAACCTAAATAGTGCTAAGAATAGTTGTGTAATTAAATGGAATTAGAGTGAACAGTCAAAAAGTAAATTTGTATTTGTTTGGAGAATTTTCAAATAAAGGGACCAAGATTATTCAAGGGAGGAAATGCCCAAATAACTGGATATTTACATGCAGAACAATGAAGTTGGACCCCTCTTTCATGCTTGCACTAAAAATTATGTGGATCAAAGACTTAAAATGGGTGCTAAAACTACATAATTCTTAGCGGGAAACAGACATCAGTCCTCACGGCTCTGGATTAGGTTATGGTTTCTTATCTGATAGAGTGCCAGAAGATGAGCTCTTCAAGTTGGAAGGCACTCAGAATAAGACTACTTCCTCAAAGTAGGGGGGAAGGGCTTCCTCCTGAAAGTAGAGTTGACATTAATGATGTGAATAGATCAAAATTCAAAACCATAAAAGAAGAAGAACAGGCTTACTGGTTAGATAGAGAACAGTGGACTCCCTGAGACTATGAATCTTAGTTAGTATTCAGATTTGTAATTGAACTCACCCCTGTGGCTCAGTTTTCAGTCAAACAATAAACAAGTCTATATAGTAATGGATTATGAGTTGAGCTGCTAATTTAACAGCTCAAACCTGCCAGCCATTCCCAGTGATAAAGATGAAACTTTCTGCTTTTTACAACCTCAGAAACCCTAAAAAGGGTAGCTATGAGTCAGAAGCCAATCCACCACACATAACCACCATCAGCACCATAAGGGGAACACCACCATGTGTCTGATAGTTTGCTATATTGTAGTACGTGTGTTACTATGATTCTGGAAGCTCTGCCATGGGTATTTTAAATGCCAACAGGATTACCCAAGTGGACAAGTTTTAGCTGAACTTCAAGATGAAGACTAGGAAGAAGGAGAGATACACTACTTCAGAATATTTAGTTATTAAAAACCTTATGAATAGCAGTGGAACACTGTCAACACCAGATTTGGAATGTTGAAACATGATGAAGAGCATCAGAATAGTGCTGGAAGTGTCAGGAATAGTGGTGGAAGATGAGCCCCTCGGGTTGGAAGGCACTCAAAATAAAACTTGGGAAGAAATGCCTCCTCAAAGTAGAGTTGACTGTGAAAATGAGAATGGAGTAAAGCATCCAAGACCTTCATATGCTGATGCGGTACAATTTAAAACAAAGAGAAACAGCTGTAAATATCCATTAATAATCAGAACATGGAATGCATGAAGTATAAATCTAGGAAAATTGGAAATTGCCAAATATGAAACAGAATGCATAAACAAGAATATCCTAAGCATTAGTGAGCTGAAATGGGCTGGTATTGGCCATTTTGAATCTGACAATCACACAATCACATAGTTTAATATTCCAGGAATGACAAATCGAAGAGGAATGGTGTCCATTCATCATCAAAAGGAACAAATCAAGATCTGTCTTGAAGTACCAGGCTGTCTGTGATAGGATAATATCCATACCCTACAAGGAACACCAATTAACACAAATATCATTCAAATTTAATGATAAAGCCAGTGATGTTGAAGAATTCTACCAGCATATTCAGTCTGAAATTAATAAAAAAAGAAAGGCAATCAAGCCGTATTGATAATTACTAGTGACTGGAATGCAAAGGTTGGAAACAAAGAGGGAGGATCACTAGTTGAAAAATATTGCATTGGCAATAGAAATGGTGCTTGAGATTGCATGATAGAATTTTATAAGACCAAGGAATTCTTTATTGAAAATACCTTTTTAAATTAACATAAAAGAGGACTATACACACAGACCTCACTAAATGGAATACACATAAAGCAAATTGACTACATCTGTGGAAAGAAAATGTGGAAAATCTCCATAGCATTAGACAAAACAAGACCAGGAGCACACTGTGTAACACACCATCAATTGCTCATATGCAAATTCAAACTGAAGCTGAAGAAAATGAAAACAAGTCCACCAGAGTCGAATTATGAGCTGGAACACATCTCACCTGAATTTAGAGATCATATGAAGACCAAAGTTCATACATTAGATACTGAAGACCAAAGACCACAAGATTTGTTGTATGACGTCAAAAACATCATACTAGAAAAAA